AGATGGAAGCCAGAGTATGAATGTTGGTACCATTACTGAAGGCCTGAATGATCTTTTCCTCTCACCATTGCTCAGTTGAGAAGACAGTGGGTCTGACACAAAGCATTTTAACTTGCTCTCTTTTTAGCTGAAAAACTTAAAGAGTTTTTCAGTGATTCTTACGAAAAATAGTGTCAAGATGGCTGAACGTCTTATGTGAGAACCTGGAAAAAACACATTTAGTTTAGTGATTTTTTTTTTTTTTTTTTTTAGATATTAAAAATTTTTTGGGCTGAACAATTGTGCTGTTACACCAGGGATACTCAAAATCTGAAATTCCTTGGACACATTATGAGAAAAGAGGGCTTGGAAAACTTAACCCTCACGGGGTATACTGAGGGTAAGAGAGTTAGGGGAAAGCAGCGAGCCACTTACCTGATGAGCTTGTGTGAATGGGTGGCCGAACGGCGGGCGGGGGAGAAAATCTGCTAAGAGCCACACGAGATAGTTGTGGAGAGCCATGATCTCCTATGTTCAGAAAGAAGGCGGCACATGGAAGAAGAAGAAGTAGAAGAAGAAGAAGAAGAAGAAGGAACAGGAAAATGTTAGAAACAAAGAAAAGAGTACTGAACTGTTATGAAATGTCAGTTCTCTTACATGGCAGTGAATGTTGGACAATCTTCTCAAAGATGAAGAGTCTTGAAATGCAGTACTACAGATGAATGCTGAGAATACCATAGACCAAACATGTGAGTAATGACAAAGTTTTAGAGAAAATGGAAATAAAAAGGACACTTATCCTTAACATCAGAAAGAGTTGAAATTTCTAGGTCACATAATGAGGAAAGAGGGCTCAGAAAATTTGGCACTCAAGGGACGTATTAAAGGCAAAAGGGATGGAGGAAAGCAGTACATAACATACCTAATGAGTTTGTGTAAATGGATGACAGAACAGGGATTAGGAGAGATAGCAAAAAGGCAGATATTACTAAGAGCTACAAAAGACAGGAAATTGTGGCGAGCCATGGTCCCCCACATCCTGAAAGGTCATGGCATATAGAAGAAAAAATATTGAATCTACCTTTTGTCAAATAGCTGGGATGAAATACTTGGCTCATATTACTACATTTACACAGTGATTTATTTAGAATCACCATCTAACATTAATACACAAGTTGGTTTGTTGGGGTTGACATGAATGATATAAAAACTGCAGGAGCCATTTTATTTCAATTGAGCACTGAGTGATAGGCTAATTCTATAAACAAGAGCCACCTACGTTAATGCAAAGCTCTTCAGTAAACTGAATTAGAGCACTCTGGGCTGATTGGCATTTGTTTACATTCGTAAAAACAATACGCTAGATTTAGCCGTCCCTCTCTGTCGAATAAAGATAGCTTAGTGGTAGAAACTCTAACACCAAATCGGTTTGGGTTTCGATCCGGGCTTGAGGCATTCGGATGTGTAGTCGCACTGATGAGCTGTGATACAGCGAAACAGTACTGTCTGCAAATGGCATATTATAAAGTTATAAACTTTTGACCAGGGAAGTGTTTTATCAGAGGACGGAAAGTGTGATACTGAAATTTAAACTTGCATTAGGGTAGCGAAAGGTGCCTTCCAAAAGCTAAGCGAAGTATTAGGAAACAGAAAAATTTCATTAGAAACAAAGAAAAGAGTACTGAACTGTTACTCCTCCTATATGGCAGTGAATGCTGGTCAATCACAGATGAAGAGACTTGAGGCAACAGAAATGTGGTTCTACAAAAGGAGGCTGTGAATACCATGGACTGAAAATGTGAGCAACGATGAAGTTTTAAGAAAAATGGAAGCAAAAAAGACACTTCTACTTTGAATCAGAGACAACTGAAATTTCTAGGGTACGTAATTTGGAAAGAGGGCTTAGAAAATTTGACACTCACAGGACATATTGAAGGGAAGAGGAACAGAGGAAAACAGCGCATGACCTACCTAAATCACCCACATCTTGAAGGGACGTGGCACACAGAAGAAGAAGAAGAAGAAGAAGAAGAAGAAGAAGAATGAGTTTGTGTAAATGGTTGGCAGAACAGTGATTAGGAGGGTTAGCAAAAAGACAATTGCTAAGAGCTACAAAGGACAGGAAATTGTAGAGAGCCATGATCTCCCACGTTCTGAAGAGACATGGCACGTACAAGAAGCATGAAAAAGAAGCATAAATGCAATGTTATTGTGAAAGCATCAATGAGGAATGATCGAGTTAGTGTAGCAATATGAGTCAAAGTGAGGTCTTGTTAAATTTTAAAACAGCGCGACTTGTGCACAACTCGATACGGAACATTTACTTTCGACCGATGGCTATGAGTAATTGGAGTCAACTTCAAATTACAAGAGTAAGAGGCTCAGACTGAGAGAAAGTGGCGGAAGGAAGATAGATTAATTACTTTTTAAAACGATGATGACAAGACAACGAAAACTGTTGTCTATAAAACTGACTATCTCGCGCAAAGTCAAATAGAAGGGACGAAGTGGGCTTCGCAGAAGGATATAGACAATGGCCGCTGAACTGTGCACTTCTTACCCCTCATCTCTACTTCGCTCACTTATAGCAGTAGGTTACAATCCAAGAATAAAATCTGGTTTCCTGATGGAAATTGTCTTGTTTTTTACTCGTGGGTAACGATCTGGCCGAAGGGTAATTTTTAAGCCACAAGCGTTTGACTGAAAGAAACTGCATCCTGTCAACGAATCTGGTGTCTGGTCTAAGCTACAATGCAACATTTTCTGCCTTAGGAATTACAAATGTCCCTTTCTGGTTCTAGATATAAGCGTCTTTTTGTTTCCATTTTCATTAAAGAACAAATATTATCTTGAATTTTGATTAGATGAAGCATTGTCAGCCATTATTAATTTTTGACTAGTATTTCTTTCATCTTAATTCCATTTGCTTTTCATCTAGTAATATTAGTAGTAATATTATCTTGAATTTGGATTAGATGAAGGATTATCAGCCATTATTAATTTTTGACTAGTATTTCTTTCATCTTAATTTCACGTACTTTTCATCTAGTAGTATTAGTAGTAATATTATCTTGAATTATGGTTAAATGAAGCAGTGTCAGCCATTTAACTTTAGTCTGTGAGACTAGCTACTCCATGACGATGCGCTCAACTAACAAAGGCTACCACAGTTTGAGTTACCGTTGAAATTCGAACACATTACTCTGGTTTCTGAGACCAGTTTGCTAACCACTATTCTACGGTCACGCCTTTTTTTTCTACGGCCTATGTATATGTGCATTAACTTTCTGGCTGTTTCCTAACTCCCACACAGTATCAAAAAGAAGGAAAAAATTTTTGAAGGAGTTGATATTTAAAACATTTCTTTCTGCAAGGATTCTAAGAGAACACGACAACCAATTTCACCCCGTTCCAGTTTTACTGCAAACATTTAATTTGCTGTAGTTTGGCGAACAAGCAAAGCCTTTCGGCGAGATTTGGTCAATTAGAAAGTAATTAGAAAATTAGTCTGAAATCGGAGACTATACAGCAACACGCTCATGTTGAGCAAATAACGAAACCTAACCAATTCTCTTTTCTCACGTTCTCATCTTCTCGAAAGCTGCTTTGGAAGCTGAGACTTAGAAATGCAATTTACGCAAGCAGCACGTGAATGTTGACTAGAGAACTTCCCTGATGTATAACAAGGTTATTTTGGGACATGTTCTTCGAGTTGTTCGCTTTTATGTTAGGCTAAAGAAATGGTGGTAAAGTTAGACAGCAGGAATTACGCAGTTTCGGTCTGTAAATAATGTTCCGGTGGCAGCAATCTTACTGTTAACACATGGCCTTGTATAAGTCTTATATAACAGCCATCCCGTGACATGAAAAACGAAACTGCTGAAAAATGTCATGTTTCGATTCATCGGCAGGCAGAAAAAAAACAAAACAGAGCAATAAAATTAGAACGAAAGAGAGGAAATATCGATAATAAACATTAAACTAATTTATTTTTGTTTTTTAGAAATCAGATTTTGGCGACTGCCAAGTGTTTATTGAATATAAGATAAGAATTGTTCATTTATAATGTGCATGCATGTGTGAGTAAGAAACGTAATTTTAATAGCTTTGAAATAAGGCTGTTTGTTTCGGTCACCCGCGTCACGTGGTAGCAGGTTGAACGTGTGGCTTCAGAGAGTAAAAATCGCCGGTTCTTATTGCTTTTACTGGTAGGTTCAAAAGGCTTGAATATTTTATCTTACTTCTGATTGGTTAAAAACTAACTTGTGTTCTCTACTACGTCCGCGCCGAACATTTTTTATGACATTGAAACCGTCCTAGGTAAGACGATAAACCTCATCTGCATCCTGGGTAAGACAATAAACTACATCCAACAGCAAGGCCTTTGATCAGGAGGCTTTGAGGAGCATGGAACCACCTCTTAATTGCTGGTGTTCCTAGGTCCATCCTGACCCGGGGGAGTAGCACTTACTAGGGTACCAGCTATGGACAAATAGTTAACCCCCAAACTGGGGTCAAAACGTGTAAAAATAGTTGTTTTTTTTAATACCAGCAAAAGATTTTTGTAAAAAATTACTACTAGCAATACATTATTACCGTCACTACATTTTTGAAAAAAAATATTACCAGTAATACTTTTTTGGTAAAAAATATGAAAAATACTTTTTGAAAAAAAAAATATTACCAGCAATAAAAATTTTGTCGGCATTAAATAACCCATTAAGGTTGATATACCGTAAAACAAACCAAACCTAATGACATTGAACTATAATTTTTTTTTTTTTTTTTGTGCCTTTACCAAGATTATCTTTTTGCCATTAAAAACATACAAACTAAACTTGTTTTTACCTTCTATGTTTTTACTGACTCTGGTTCGTGTATTGTTAACATCCTGATCCTTCCTGATCACGGGGAAAACTAAGAGCTTAGACATTTTGCTTTCCAAATTTGAAGATTTTTAAATTGTTTGAAGTTCTTACATAAAATATTCTGATTATCAATTTTCAACAAATTAAAAGCTGACAGTCAAATTCCGCTGACAATACCGGTTCTCGTTCGATCATCGAAGTTAAGCAATGTCGATCCCGGTTGGTACTTAGATGAGAGATCGCTTGGAAATATCGGGCACTGTTGTGAGTTTGTAGTGAACAAAACAAGATCTAAATGCTAAGCACTGACTCATTAATTTTGTTAGAAATTAAAAAGACTCGAATTTTCAAACTTTGCTTTACCCACACGCAAAAGCGAATCCAAAACAAAACTCGTGAAATTTCACAACTTGATGCGAAATATTTTTCGGCCAATAGAAAATAAAGTAACATTTAAAAACAAATTTCAAATAATCTTCAATTCTTAAAAACAAATTCTTTTACGGACCTTTTCGCGAGCCAACGCGAAGTTTGTTCGTCGTTCAATGGAAAGGCCCGAATCATATCCGAGAGTGAATTTCCAAATGATCTTTTCAAGCCCCACAAACAAAATAAAAGACAGGCAGGTTCGCCTGTCACCAGAGAGAAGGAGACGAGCGTATTAACACGTCCCTTGACAAACGTCAAGCGATCGTTATTATTATCTCCACCTTTCTCCCTCAACTTTTTTATACTTGATAAACGAACGGAACTTTTTAAGATTGAGCGATTACTTCAAAGACTTTCCTACCCTACAATAACGCTCATACATACATCCACACATACGTTCCTGCCTACGTACACATAAACTCATTCTTGCAAGGACTACTACGAATATTTTGACGACCCTGTATCAAACAAAATACATTAATTTTATTTGTAAAGACCTTAATTGATTTATATGGATATAAATTTGTTGTTTCACTTTACAATTTGATTTTCTTGTTTTATGGTGTGGCTATCTAACTAACAAGGCCAGATCAAACTAATCTGTTTCAACACGCATACACTTCACTATAATTGATAAGCCACTATAAGTTATCCCACTTGACTTTGCTAAAAAAATCGTTTCTAGTGGGGCGCTCCTTAAACCTATATGAAGACGTGCATTTATATCTCCATAGTCTCTTTTAAACAAATTTCACACACGCATTCTCTAGTTTAAATGTTTTCTGTGTAATTAGTCTTTAAATGTTTTCTTCTTTTATTGTCATTGTAGTTCTGTAGAGGTAAAAAGAACAAACAAGACTGATATGTATCAACAAATATATGTATTAAACAACAAATTTACAAGTGACAAAGACATCAACATTTGTGTTTGTGTGTTAACGTAAAGAGTTTGTGTTTTGGTGAATGTTCGTACGTACGTGTATGTGTGTTTCATGACGTTTACCCACAAATGGACGAAAACGCGGATCTTTACGAGAGATTCCATTTTTAAATGTGTCCGCTGAAATGCAAAGTGAAAAAGAGAACGAGGCAATAAATTGCCCAGTATTTATAGTGTAGGGAGAGCGCCCCTTAGTGAACAATTGGGGAATTAAGGAGGAGTTAACTCCGACAGTTCCTTTTGTCAATACATGAAATTAGATGTCGTTTGTTTTATATTGATTTGTGTTATCATTTTTTACTTGGACTCACATTGAGTCCGCCAGTATTGTTTGTGGGATAAATTTTCCAGGAGCCCGTATTGAAATTGTTGATTACCGCAACATTATAGTGACTAAATATTTACCCAAACATACCAGCTATGCCGCGACACTGTAAACGACTTCCTGCAATCCGAAATAATTTTCGGCTTTAAATAACCCACAAAGATTTGATAAACCGTAAAAATCCATTTTAAATTAAAGTGTAGAGGACCGTGTGGGTTTAAGTGTTGTTGAATTAGGAACACGTGCGTTTATTTCCTGCTAGAAAAAGGTCCAACTACACGAACATGGCGGACTCAAGTTGAGTCCAACCGAAGATGTAAAGAAAACAAACAAGACCGATGCATATATATATAAATAAATATATGTATTGAACAACAAAGTTTACAAATGACAAAGACATCAACATTTGTGTTTTTGTGTGAACGTAAAGAGTTTGTATTTTGGTGAATGTTCGTACGTACGCTTATATGTGTTTCATGGCGTTTTGCCACAATTGGGCGAAAACGCGAATCTATACGAGAGATCACATGCAAAGTAGAAAGAGAACGAGGCAATAAATTGCCCAGTATTTATAGTGTAGGGAGAGCGACTCCTAGTGAACAATTAGGCAGAAGCTAACTCCGACAAAAGAAAAAAAAAGTTCATGATGAGATTCCAACTCGAATTCTTGGGATCCTGTCTGACATAAGCAGGGTCTTACCGATTAGGTCATGAAGACCAAGAGCTAAAAATTCATATTGCCATATAGTTACACTCTTTGACCATGTTTCTACACAGCATTTTACCTATTTCTTCCACTATTATTAGTAGCAGACGTTATTGGAAATTTTTAATGGAGAGTATATTCTACCTTATTTTTTTCTTTCTTTTTATGTGCCATGTCCTTTCAGGACGTAGGCGATCATGGCTCTCCACCTCCCTCTATCTCTTGTAGCCTCTTCCCTCTGCTTCCTCCCCCAAACCACGTTCTGTCATCCACTTGCTTAAGTCCGCCAAGCATCTCACGCGTTGTTTTCCCTTCTCTTTTCCCTCTATTTGACTCGTGAGTATCAGATTCTTCAGGCCCTCCTTCCTCATGTGTGCCAGAAACTTCAGCTGCCTCTTGCTGATATTAAGTATAAGCCTCCTCCTTGTTTGCAACCTCTCAAAGACCTCATCCTTTGCTCACACTCTCGGTCCATGATATCCTTAACATCCTTCTGTCGAATCACATCACCGTCGCCTCGAGTTTCTTCTTCATCTTTGAGGAAATCATCCAATATTCGATGCCGTAAAGAAGGACAGATGTCACGTAAAAGTTCAGTATTCTTTTCTTTGTTACCAAAGATATCCTCCTGTCTCGTAGTATTATGCTCAGCTTTTGGAATGTGTCCTTGGCTATCCCAGTACGCCTACGGATCTGTGTCGCACTTACTCTGTCCTGTCAAGACGCTTTCCACATATTTAAACTTCCGCGTCTGTTTGATTCTGGTGTTCCCGACCTTCAAATCGCATTTCTGGCTAATCCTCTTACTGATGACCATGCATTACGTCTTACCTTACCATTCCAATACAGCATTACCGCAATGAAATTCATGGAATACACGGTGAAAAGTAATTGGAACCAACGCGCCATCAAATGAATGCATTCGTCCATTTAATCGGTTCCAATGACTGTGGAATGAATGTATAAACATCCCTCTCCCCAGATTTATAAACAAAACATATAGATGCATGCTGGGATTTCTTCTGTTGTAGCATACCTACGGACTATAAAGGTTATGTCCCCATTCACACAAATACAGTAGTAAATCCTGTATGTTGGTCTGCAGTTGGGAATTCGTCTCCACCTGTGCTGGCCAAACTCCCTGTCTCTGGGAAGAGAGGATCTCCAGACAAGGCTATGTCGAAGGACAGAGTCTCGTCTTGGGAAACAGCTACCCGGCCCCATTTTATACGTGGTCTACGGGGAATATTTGGCCGAGCACATGGGCTCGGATACCCCACATTAAATTCGGTCTTGTGCCACATCTGACCGCATGGGGCGGTCGGTAGATATCCTGCAGTTGGAGATTCATTGTGGAATTCACTTGACTCACTTCTAACAGTTGGCTAATTCTTCTACGCGCCGCTGGCGAATCTTATATGTGTTGTTCTTGTCCTAAGTATTACCGTTCATTACCAACCTTAGTTTGCTTATTTTATTCAGTAACCTTCCCTAGGTTACAATATCTTCCTAGCCAATAAGATCGGCCACTTCTTGGTCTCATCCGATACATTTCTGTCTTTTCAGTGGTCATTCCTTCCCGGGGTTTACATCTCCCTCGGGATGGGAGCTGAATTTATTGCCCGGCACCTGAAGCGTCCCTAAAAGGTCAAGTGCCGAGGTAGTTTGGGAATTTTTCCACGGTACGGCTGATAAAACCACTTTAAAAACCACGATCTTGTATCACATCTGGTCGCGTTCTGGGCGCGCTGGAAAAAAAACCCTATATTTCAGCCCTTTCTTTTCTTGAAGTCAGAACACTGCGATCGCTTGTCTGTATCCCTTCTGTGTCTAAACACCATTCTTAGTTTATACCTTAGTCTTGCCTTATTTACTATTGCTTTGCCTTGCATATATTGTTTCCTTAATATTATTCTTACCTTGTTCTTAAGTTTCTTTCTGTCATTCTTTATTGTAAACAGTATCAATTCTATTTGTTGGGCATTTCTGTCAATTACTCTATATAAGAAACGTGTATATCTCTCAAAAGGGAGAAATGGACAAACAAAATGCATTTCATAGAAATACGCAAAGAAAACACTTTTCAAATACAGAAACTAACAATTTGAAGTAAACTCAAGAGAAGAATTTCAAACTGCTTAGTAGGGAAGAGACAGTTACCGTGTTTCGATAGAGAAGGTGCTTATATTCCTTTGGTGGAGCTAAGTCACGTAGGTCACATGACAGCCGCTTAGTGACGTTCCTCTATACAGTGACGAAAGCGGAAGTCAAATTCAGTTTGTGTACAGCAACGAAACCAAAGTGTTGCTTTCTTTCGAACGCACCTCATGGCCCGAGCAAAGGATAAATCTGCCTCCTCAATAACGGTGACGTTTCACTTTGGGAATATATCTTTCTCAGTTATAGAAAGAAGTTCGCTGTTTCCGATTCATGGAATACGTACTCGCCTAAAGCATAGATGATTCCGGCCTATTTGAATCTGGAATCCTAAACATGGCTTCTCCAGACAAAGGAGTATCTCCATATTATATGTAAGATACTTCCTTTTGTTTCTTCTTACACTCTTCTTTACTGTGTAGATATATACGATATATTGTTTTCTGCTGCGATATATATATATATATATATATATATATATAATTATTTATTCGAAAATCATAACATAAATATGTTATAAAATCACTACAAAAATAGCCATTTTGTTTTCTGGTGTCTTATCAATTGATGGTGTTGAATATAGAATAAAGGGTTTTAAAAGGTTCAAATCAACCAAACATCCCTCGCTAGGGGAAACGCTGTTATATATATATATATATGTGTGTGTGTGTGTGTGTGTGTGTGTGTGTGTGTGTGTGTGTGTGTGTGTGTGTGATAGTATAAAAGTCTTTTTGAGAACAAAGCCTGTTTGTCATTCATCTTCCTTTCAGCCATTCCGTTCCGTCCGTGAACTATGATGTTATTATAATCGTGTTGCGTCGTCTCTTCGGCCGACATGATAGTTTCCTTAGCCACTAAGGGGCCGCGTGATAGCAAACTCGCGGAAATTACAACTAATTCATGTATATATGTGATAAATGCATGCATGTATATATGTGATAAATGTCTATTATATTTTTACGGTCCTTAAAAAATTATTCTGATAATTTTAAAGCTATTACTACTGCTACCCTGCCACTACCAAGTAGTAAAGTCTCTAACCCCCGGAACACATATACCGGGCCCTTCGGCGACCGTTACAGGATATATTAATATTATAAGAGATATCAAAAAAGAAAAGGGTATTAAAATCGCGTCGGAAAAAATCCCGCGTCACCTTAACTTTAACGCCCATCTCACGAGACCGAGATGTGACGCCTTTCTTACTCTTTGCCATGCTAATTATTGCCGAGTCAAGGACAGACAGACATCTTTGGTAACACTATTACGTAATAGTCTCTAAGTCATTCTAAGTTTTTTTCTTTCATAGATTAATTTATATTAATCTATGAAAGAAAAAAATGTGGAACAAACATTAACTCACTACAATAATAATTAGAATTGCCAACAATCCCGCAACCTCCGCCCATTTTATTAGGCGTCTAAGAGTATTTGGCAGTGATTACTAGACAGTTTCCTCAGCGTTGAAGAGGAGACTCGATACAACATAGATTTGGTTCTACTGGAGGATGCTGAGAATACCATGGATGGAATATGTGATTAACGAGGAAGTTTTAAAGAAGATACAAACAAAAAAAACGCTTGTCCTTAGAATCAGAAAGAGAGCTGACATTTTTAGATCACAAAGTTGTCAAGAAAAACATCATTTTGACACCGGGCTTACGGCCACATCATGTTCAAGCAGTGCTTCCAGTACGATTATCGAAGTTAAGCAACGTCGAGTCTGGTCCGTAACAAAATGGGAGACCGCTTTGGAATACTAGGTACTGTAAGCTTGGATGTGCGGGTGGTGTAATGGATAATGGCTCGGAATTGTTAATCGGAGGGCCGAGTTCCAATTCCACTCTCGTCCGTTATATTCACTTACGCGTTGAATCCACCTTTTCTCCCCTAGCTATGGGTTAAATAGTAGGATTTGTATCCCTAAATGATTATCATTTCTATGAAAAAAAATTCTTACAATCTAAAAGTATTTTCTGGTTTATCAACCTTTTTAAGGTGATTTAAAACCTGCAAAAGGTTGATAACTCATAAAAAATTCGATCAACCTTTTGACCCACCATTTCTGTCTTTTGTTTGTTTTTTTGCTTACCCCAAAGTTAAACTTTGTGTAATCTTTTTTAAGCATTTCACCCGAAGCAAGGCAGGAGTGTCACTAGCACGCAATGGGTTACAGAGAGTGTGAGCAAGAATAAAGAGGGGGGTGTTTGAGGAAAGGATAAAGAGAAGGACAGGGATCAAGGCATCAGGAGATGTCGGTTGAGATTACACTTAAATATTTGAAGATTATAGTAATCAGGGAAGCAAGTAAGAGGAAGGGAGTTCCACTGTTGGGAAGTGCGAGGGAAGAAGCTGTTGGGGTAGAAGAGACGGCTATATTTAACTGTTTTTACAGTAAAAGGGTGGGACTGAGATGCCAACCTAGTAGCATGCTTAAATTCATGCAGCTGGGACACTAGTGAAAGTAGATCGTCAGAGCAGTTGCTATGAAAATATTTGTAGAAAAGACAGAGGGAAGCCACAGCACGTCTGTGAGTTAGTGACTGTAAACGAGATGCTAGATCAGGACCTATCATATTGCTTATCAGTCTTTAGATTTTGTCGAGGACCTCGAGATGAACAGCGGGGGCACCAGACCATATATGGCAACAGTATTCCATGCAAGGACAAATGGTTGATTTGTAGATTTGAAGGATGGTCTCAGATTGATTTTTATGCTGGATCATGACCAGTATTGATTCTTGTTGAAAACTTGTAAACTGAAGACTATTGAAGAGAAAAAAGCTGCGAAGTTAAAAGTCAAACTTTCCTTGCTGGTCGAGGAAACGTCCTGTTAGGATGGGCGTGGTGGGGTCAAAGTTTTCTTGTGTGCATTTTGAATGATGACGGAAGGCGCTTTACATAGTGAGTGCTAGAAACGTTGAGACAGGGCACTTAATTATTTCGAACGGATCGAGGTCGCTGCATATCTCTGATTGCTCGAATATGAGTCGACTGCTGAGGCCTTTTTTAAGTCGCTTGTTGCGTGTTGAAACATGTGGTTTTCAACACTGATATCCATTTTTGTTATTTTACTGGCAACTACTTTAGTCCGTTCGTGTGTGTGTCCGGCGTTTCTAGCAGAGAGTCCGTGAAGGCGTGTCTCGATGCGTGTAGCAGGGGCGCGTGTTGCACAAACATGGCATGGCTTCTGCTGGTTGACTGTTGTCGAACCGTTGTAAAAATCGAGAGTTTGTATTTGGTGAAATCTAAAATCGGCTCACCAGTGCCTAATCTCTTTTCTTTTCTTTTCTTTTCTTTCTTTCTTTCTTTCTTTCTTTCTTTCTTTCATGACTTGGTATTGGTTTAAAAATAACTTTCCATTAATTACGATTGGTTGAATAATGCGTTTAAGTGTTGGGAGTGCATTGTTGTAAATATGCGTGGAGATTTCGCCCCAAATTGATTTCAATCAAAACTTGGACTGGACATTTCGAGCCAGATATTAACTGTAACAAAATCAATGGACTGATCTATTTTTTTTTAAATCTCAGTCCGATTTGAGAACTTCTAGTTGTATCTCTGAATGATTAAGTAACACTATAACCTCGCATTAACACCGAGAGTGCTCAATTTTCTTTTTTACTGAAGTTCACTTACTAGAAGTCCTGAGAGCCATTCAAGGTAGAGTGTTATTTAATAAGGTTTGTGTAGGAGGAGGAGGAATAGAACGATTAAAACTCAACTTTTTTTTCTTTGGTACGGGTTATCAACCCATTGCAGGTTCTTAAAATCCAGAAAATATTGTAATAATTTTTTTTGAGATAATAATGGCTTAGTTATACAATTCTTACTAATTAACCCATAGTTGGGGAGAAGAGGCGGATCTATAACTTTCCCAAGAGTATTTGCGCGTAAGTGAATATAATGAACCCAACGGGACTTGGAACTCGGCTCTCTGATTAACAATCTGTTATCCATGACACCACCCGCACACCCAAGCATAAAGAACCTGATATTCCCAGGCGGTTACCCATCTAGGTACTGACCAGGCTCGACGTTGCTTAACTTCGGTGATCGCACGGTGTTTCAACGTGGTGTGGCCGTAAACCGATTCTCGACTTGAAGTAGAAGATTTTAGAATTCGAGCAACCAAAAATAAGTTATTGGGAAGAATCTTTTGAATTTGAATTCTCTTCTTACCAAAGATATACATATGGAATAAGGGTGATTCAACCCTGGGTACGTAGCAAGGTGGGTCCTGGCTGCTAAAGTCTGGTCTGGTGGCGCTAAAGAATGGAGCTCGTCTGAACATTTGCCATGGAAGTAACTGAAGGAAAAATAGGGGTGGCTACTGCAGCGGCCTCCTATTGATATTGCCCGCTGACCACATCAGCGATCGGAACAGCCAAGCATATCCATTAAATATGACCTAAGAAAATTTAAAAAGGTATTCCCGAACAATCAAGTAAACATCACTAAACGGAAACCAACTGATAGCTCTTCAACCAGACAGACAAATGAAGAAACATTTATAGATAACATATACGAGAGTAAGTCAAAAATTTATCCGCATTTTCGCCATAGCACATCTTTAGGATAGTCACACTACCTTCTGCGCATGCGTGCTTATAGTTGGCGCTATTGTGGTCATGTGATCAGCATTTGAGCTTGATCGCGCTAGTTTTCTTGTTACACTGTAAACATGGTTAGCAGTGTGCACCAAGAGGGAACAAAGACTCAGTCAGTTATGTGCCATGCGTGATACACGCTTAGACGATCTTTCGATACATGACTAACGAGGCAGATTTTTTCCCGCAGTACGTTGACATTTCTTTCTGCGGTAGTTGCCATCCCGCTATTTACCCATAGCAGGGGAGTAGAAGAGGATATATATATATATGTGTGTGTGTGTGTGTGTGTGTGTGTGTGTGTGTGTGTGTGTGTGTGTGTGTGTGTGAAAAATATATAGAAAATAGGAAAGAACTGTTAGGTAAATAATCCAAAGTTCTTTAGTATTTTTGTTATTATTTTTTAAAAATAGTGCTCGATACAAGAGTAGAGCATAAATATAATTATTTATTTAAAAATATGATTCCAACACCCTACATAAGAGTTCTCATGTTTCAAAATAAGAGCCGAAAACTTCAATATAATTATTTGAATTAAATTGAATTAAAGTAAGCTCTGTTCCATCTTCAAGCGAAATTTTTTTTGGAATAACTTATTTCTGAAATTTACGTGTTTTAATAGCATATTCATTATTGAAATCAAAATTTCTATGGTAACGGCTAGAGCAATTGTTTAAAGAAAAAGGGGCGTAAAGTGTTAATAATTTGTATCAGTATAGAGTTACATTCACAGATGTCAAGTCAGGGTAAGGTTGGGGTGTCTAAATTTAAAGCGGAAGATGATTTCGCCTAGTCTGCTTTAAGTGTCTATGTAGATTTATTTATTTTTTTTATTTTATTTTTTCTGAAAGGGTTTTGTATATATAAAAACTGTTGTAAGTCGCTAACATTTGTTTTTTGACAACTTCATAAAGGGTTATCTTTTTTGTAGGGCATTTAAACTATTTATTAGGAATATGGATTTTAAAAATTATTTTATGTTTGTTTTTATGCTAATTATTCAATGCAAGAATTTGATGATGTCGGTGAAAACGGTTAACTCATGTCTATTGTTTAATAGATTTTTATTATTTAGAAACTTAATAATGTGTAGTTTTTCATGTACGCATAAAGGGCATGGGTCATCCCAAGTTTTACAAGTTCTAGTTTTGTTTATAATTTTCCATTTTACTTTTGGTGTTTTATTCATTTCCTTCAAATGCCAAAAATATTTAGATAGAGATGTCTGATTTCTTTTATTTATATTGTTGAAAGAGCACTTATGCTGCCTCCATCTGGTTTTAAATTCATTCTTCGTAGACCCAATGTATATCATATTAGTATTAGGATTCTCAATGGATGAGATAGTACATTGGTATACCACAGATTTAACGCAGCATTTATTTTCCAATGGCAGTCTTCTAGGTTTCTACAATCACATAATTTTTCACTATTTTTGTCTAATTTAAGTGTAGAGTTTTTATTAATGCTATTCCGGCATGGGGGTTTGTTCAGGATATTATTATTGTGTTTTTTTTATTATACTTTCATGATTTTCAGTGCAACTGTAACTTAATTTTAGGGTGTTTTTATTAAATATTGTACTAAGTCTACTATTGGTAGGAAAGTGTTTTTCAATTAAAGCTAGGAATTTCTGTCCTAGCTTAATACTAACCATTTGGTTGAACGGAGGGGTATACCAAATGATTTTTCTTTTCCTGTTTTTTTTTCTGGTTAGTACAATATGCTAACATCAATTATAGAAACAATTGTACTAACCAGAGAAAAAAGAAAAAAAAAACAGGAAAAGAAAAATCATTCCCCAAAAAATTTCGCTCGAAGATGGAACAGAGCTTACTTTAATTCAATTTAATTCAAATAATTATATTGAAGTTTTCGGCTCTTGTTTTGAAACATGAGAACCTTATGTAGCGTGTTGAATCATATTTTTAAATAAATAATTATATATATATATATATATATATATATATATATATATATATATAAACACGCGCGCGTATGGTTAGAACGTTCGCTTTCTGACCATGACACCTGAGTTCGAATCTCACTACCTGATGTTATCTGCCAGAGTGCCTGAAAACCAGACGGAACACTTCAGGGGATAGCTGTGTTAGCACGAAGTCACAAGTCATCGTGACTGAGGGATTGAGTGTGCTGGTGTTGTTCAGATTGTTGATCATACTAGGTAACATGCTCTCTCCCAGAATAATGTACTTAGGTTGTATAAACCACAGGTTAGTGTTGAACAAACATAAATGTGCCTGAGCGAGAGTCGGCGATAGGGGATTACCTAGCCTCACTAGTTGACGAGTCGAATACGAGTGGCCAGCTATTATACAAAAACACACACACACACACACACACACACACACACACACACACACACACACACACACATATATATATATATATATATATATATATATATAATAGCTGACTGAGGGTTAATTTCGAGAAATCTTAGTAACGAAAAAAAAAAAAGTGATAGACGTAAGACACACTGTTTAATAGATAAAAATGAGGCGTCTACTTCAAATACGAAGTGTTCATAACGTTTGAGGTAATAAAAATAGCTAATTAAAAAATAAATACATTATTATCTTTAGAAATTTATATATATATATATATATATATATATATATATATATATATATTAATCGATTTCACACCAATCATACCATTAAAGTCACTAGGACACAAAAGGTTTATAGGAAGAATTAGAAAACAGAATATATGTGTGTGTGTGCGCCCGTGTGTGTGTGTGCGCGCCCGTGTGTGTGGGTGTAGTGGAGGATTTGAAATATATATATATATATATATATATATATATATATATGATTTGATGAAGTTGTTAATCTTTAGAAATTAATGATTTGCAATTATTGATATTCAATGCAGCAGCAATGTAAATACATATTCCGGTAATTATAAATATATTCACGTCTGGTATAATCATATATATATATATATATATATATATATATAGAGTCTATTGGGATTTTTTACTGATTCACATTTAATAAGAGACTTTATTAACTTATTACCATCATTTTATTGATCCCTGTCAAGGTTAACTATAGTGTTAGCAGCTTCATTTTAAAATGTTCATACAAGCAAGATTTATAGGAGAATGGTTTGATGAACCTCTTATTCCTCAATTCTCTTCTGTGTCAAACACCACAACATGCTAATGATGATACATCTTATTAAGATATCTCCAAATTGAACAGAATGCACGGAGACGTGTATTCATGCCTTTCTAGAAAACATTTATGTTAAGTGAACATTAATTGCCTTGGTCAGAATTTGAACTTTGCTGATAGCATTATCCATATCGATCACAGATGCACTGCATCATACGTTCGTTAAGAACATATATAAAATGCAGGGAGAATTGGATTCATGCCAAGATTACTTTCAAGCATGAAACAGACTGTCACCACTTGATGTTGACATCGGTGTCCACATTTATATTTACATATGCCCCATCTCTGATACTAAATTGAGCACTTTTACCCATAAATTTAATATATATATATATATATATATATATATATATATATATATATATGAGTGAACATTAAAGTCAGCACTCAAAGGCGACAGGCTGTTTCATGCTAGAAACAATAGTCTGGCCTGACGCTTGCGTCTAGCATGAAACAGCCTGTCGTCTCTGAGTGTTGAATTCAATGTTCACTTACATTTTACATACGCTCTATCTCTGATATTGAGCACCTCATCCCATAAATATACCACACCTTAAAGCTATATTTCTTCATATATATATATATATATATATATCGTTGTATCGCAGGTCATCACTGTGGCTACACATCCGATTGCTTTAAGCCGGGATCAAAACTCGAGCGATTTGGCATCAGTCAGAGACTCTACCCATCCGCGGCAGAGAAAGGGAGTCTTTTTAACGTATTATATACGTAATGTATATAAACGCTAAATCAGCAGCCAAAGCGCTCAATTTATATGAAGAGCTGTGCGTTATAAGCAGGAGCCGCTACTCTTAAAAATTCACTTTCCTCTTAGTGCTCAATCGGCGATCGAGAGCAAGTCATATATATATATATATATATATATATATATATATATATATATATTTCAATGAATCATTCATACAAAAATTAAATTAGTAAAGTTAATGATATAAAATGACGAAATCCCTTCGTTAACTAAATTTTAATGATGCATTTTAACCTACTAATCACTCGATGAATGTTATGTTCTTTGTTTTTGTTTTTTTAACTGTATTCGGTCTTTCTTAAATACGCAAGTACTTTCGACTGTACCTCCAGTCATCATCAGACATGGAAATTATTTTGTTTTTGGTAAAATTCAAGTAGCATCCGAGACTAAAATAAAAAATCCTAATCGAAATATGTTTCGTTTTTCTTTTTATATATATTTTTTAATTTGTGGAGCGTGCAGTCGCAACGCTAAGGGTTTTTTTTTAAATTTAAGTGAGTGCGTTTTTTACTAATATGGCAATTTGAGAATTTTTACATTGACCCTCATACGTCGTATTCGACGTATGAGGGTCAAGCAGCTCAGTCCCTAGAAAGCGACACCCCAGACACCAGCATATATGATTTGATTATAGTGGTGAAGGCTTTGTGCAGAACCAACCACACTTTTTGAAGGGCCGAATACAGAGACCTGGTGCACTACGTGCCACAAGGTCCTCAAACGTCCCTCCGCATGTGTTGAATTCAGAGTTGTCCTTCTCCTAGACCAGTTGCCATCCAAGGCTATAGAACCCAGTCTGCCCTGCTATTTACCCGTAGATGGAGGGAGAAGAAGAGGATTAATACCTTTCCCAAGGTTATTAGCACGTAAGTGAACGTAATGTATTCAACTGGGATTCGAACTCGGCTCTCCGATTCCTCAATCCGAGCCGCTATCCACTGACTGAGTTTCATGCACAAACTGAAGATTGTGTCGTGCATGAAACCCAAAGACGTACTAGCGATGAGGGATAATATTTATATCCATTAATATATACATAATAGCTGTGTTATGTTAAATCGAGCACTGTTTTATTAACACCAGCACTATATATATATATATATATATATATATATATATTGAAAAGTAACTCCCTATTTTATGTATGAGTGTCCAGCGAGGGGTCCTGTGACTTTTTTCTTTGGCGTTGTTTAAAGGAACAAGTGTACTATACCGAACCAAAACTTGAAAGGGGCGAATGCAAGGAAGTCATTTCTTCCATAAATAGGTAGGCAGCACGAATTAATTTAAATAAGTCTTGTTCAGTTCAAACGACAATGTCTGTTCAATTTATATTTTCTATCTTTCCAATTTTCGAATAATTTGTTGCACAGAAAAATCAAAGTTGAAAATGAACTGCGTAAAGTTCATGTTTCGTTCGGTTTTTGTTCAAGTACTTTCGACCGTCTAATTTATCAAGAACTGGATGTTGTCTGTATGGTAGACAAGATTTTGTTGGCGTCGTCGATATATCGACCTTCTTTCTTTCATATATGCGTGTGTGTGTGTGTATATATATATATATATATATATATATATATATATATATATATATATATATATATATTGCTGAGAGTGGAATAATTTCGTGTAATTCGTAAAATAATGACTATATAATATAGAGACACAAGCCCATTGGTATGTATGTATGTATGTATGTATGTATGTATGTATAAGTTTGTATGTGTCTGTGTACGCACTCCTGTTTACGTGTAGTTTAATGAAACACCGATTAAAATGTTAACTGAGACATAATTGTTATTACAGTCTATATTGATTATTGCTTCGAGCTCTCATTAATGAGAGGTAAGAAAAGTCATTGAATGCGAAGTCAATATTGACCAATCAAATGGCACAATTATTTTTTAGATTTGAATCCAGTCTTGTGGCATATCCAAAAATCGCTTTCCATTCGGCTGTGTTGTTAATATGACAGTCATTATTTAACATAACAGCTGAAATATTTGTTTGGAAACTGAATATGTTCGCCCTTGATGATAATAAATAAGAATTTAAAACAATGGTTTCGATTGAAATAAGTGCTTCATTATGGAAGCGATGTGTGAATGGATCAGATATCCTATAGTCATTCGGATGGGACTTTTTTATGACCCTTGTTTCTGAGCCTGACTATGACAACGCTGCGTCTAGTTCAGTGTAATAAAACTACTAGAAAAAAGGATTGAGAAGAAACTCCTTTTCAAGATTATTTTCAATAGTGGTGCTAGTCATAAGACGGCGTATGGTTATGACAGTCAAGACGGCATGGTGATGGTTATAAAACAGACCAGTCATACGACGGCATATAGTAATGCCAGTCATAAAACAGTGTATATAATGCCAGTGCCAGTCATACAACAGCGTATAGTGGTGCCAGTCATACGTAACAGTGCCATAATGATAATGATGCCTGTCATACGACGGCGAATGGTGATGCCAGTCATACGACGGCGAATGGTGATGCCAGTCATACGACGGCGTATAGTAATGCCAGTCATACAACAGTGTATAGTAATGCCAGTCATACGACGGCGAATGGTGATGCCAGTCATACGATGGCGAATGGTGATGCCAGTCATAAAACAGTATATAGTGATGCCAGTCATACAACAGTGTATAGTGATGCCAGTCATACGACGGCGAATGGTGATGCCAGTCATACGATGGCGAATGGTGATGCCAGTCATACGATAGCGAATGGTGATGCCAGTCATAAAACAGTATATAGTGATGCCAGTCATACGACGGCGTATAGTAATGCCAGTCATACAACAGTGTATAGTAATGCCAGTTATACGACGGCGAATGGTGATGCCAGTCATACGACGGCGTATGGTGATGCCAGTCATACGACGCTGTTTTACAAGAAATTATGCGAAACAAAATACATACCTCTACCCTTTTCCACTATCAACAGCGAAGACAGTATAAACTATTAATGTGTTCGAATGGGACTTTTTTATAACCCTTGTTTCTAAGCCTGACTATGACAAATCCGTGTCTAGTTCAGTGTAATAATATGTTCTAGGAAAAAGTATTGAGAAGAAACTCCTTTTCAAGATTATTTTCAACTAATCAGAAGAACCAATTTTGAAACCTACGACAAATTTGAAAAACATTGTGAGCCTGTCGTCTTGAATATAAGGAAAGAGTAATCTGGCTTAAATTACTATTTATTCAGAACATGCTTCTGATATTATAGTCAGAGAGACATATTTGAGAAGAAGACGCGAGACTCCACGATACCATATAATCAACAAAAAACTTCAAACAACATAATAAAACTTAAAACAGCTAATTTTTTAAAGTGTTCATTTGAAATTACTCTCAAGGAGATCAAGCCTTCCTTCATGATACAAGACAACGAACACGTCGTAACTATAATTTTTCAAGGAAGTGCCAGCTTCAACAAGATTATCAAAACGACATTCATTCAGTGCTCCTTCCATCCAAGTACGGACAATTCCGCAACTACGTTGACCTATTAACTTAAAACTGGTCAGAAAATTAACAACTCGTGATCTTCGCTGTCATTCTAACAACGACTTTTGATTAAATTGAAAAGTTCCGACTTTCTTATGAACATTTTTCTCTACCTAGCTTTATTATTAAGTACCTGAAACAATATTTTGATTATGCCATTACATCCTTTTCTTTTCACATAAATTATTGGAATAAATAAATTGTATTTCTATTTCATACTGAGTAAAAATCCATTTTATTGTGCACCTCAAGAGATAGCAAACTGATATTTATTTTATTCTAAATTAGAAAAAAAAACATATTGTTTTAGTACTGGGAAAATGCATTTAGCATTGTGTGCAATGTCAGGCTTTGGTCTTTTGTAGTTCAGATGTTCTATCAGACTGCGATGATAGGATTAAGTTAACTGACCGAAGCAGGTATTTCGAAATAGAATCAGACAATTTATACTAGTTCTGTAAACTCAAAAGAAAGCCAATAAAAATATAAATGGGCAGGGATATGAAAAAATATTTTTAACCAATTACAGCTGAGTTGAATTAATTTAAAAAAGCTTGATTTACGTGTTTCCTAAATGTCACAAAAACCTTTCAATAGTCAAGTAGAAAGGACAGTTAGAATTTAAACCAAGTCACCAGGACTCAACAACTCCAGCTTGTCTACGCGACATGATTATTTCTCTTTATTCTTTGAAGCAAGCCAACGGCGAAACCCCAAACAAATCGATAACACAACAATAACGATTATAGTGTGAGTTAGAATATTGAGAATATTTGTATGAAGCAGTTTTTATCAACCTTATTGGTAAATTCTTATCACAAACTCTTAAAACTATAGATATGAGGAATTGGTTACAAAGTCCGGATATGAGGGGTTATATTTAGATTAAAATAAAAGAACTGAAATCAGATTTAACATTTGTTTTCAATGTTTTATAGTAAACAAAATAAGCTAAAGGTGAGTGAAATATAACGGAATTGATTTTAAGGAAAAAGAAATAAATTATGTAATATTAATTATGTAATGTTAATGAAAAGTCATTAAATTAAGTATGAAATGTATGCAAAACAAATAATGTAACAAGGATTTTTTAATCGCTGTTGCATGATGATTCTTTCTCTTCTAATGTCATTCTTAACTTTTTCTGCATTTCGTTTTGCTTTTGTTCTTGAAAGTTTTTAAACGAAAGACAATTTTTAACTCTGCGTGCATTATTGCAATCGTCATAGCTGAATGCTGGCTTTCTTTCCATAAAACTGACAACCTTTTCAATAGCTTTTTTCAGCTTTAGTCCAGGTTTCATCACAATCATGTTTTTTTTTTATTTCCTTGTTTATTGTGACAGTGTGAACGCTGGAGAATAGTTTCTTTGGAAGATTTTATATCATACAATGTTGACTTTCCTATGTTGAACTCAGCCATTAGTTACAATGAACTTTCAACAGCGTCTACTCTGTTTAAAACTTCCACTTTTTGCGATAACTCCAAAGTTGTCCTTTTCTTCTTATTCCCACCATCTTTTACACCAATACAAGCCATTAGGGTGAAATAAACATAAGCAATTATCCAAAGTAAATTTCCTGAAAACCAGAAATTTCAAATCAGTTACATATCACCCAAATAGTTTAAATATACACATCAAAATCATGTCCGGATATGAGGGATTCCAGATATAAAGCACTACAGATATGAGGGATTCCGGATATGAGGAATTCCGGATATGAGGGATTCTACAGTATTTCGTTTTATTACAAACTTTGCAGCACATAAACTATACATTTCAAATGTGAAGATTTTAATCTCCAATAAGTCCACAAACAAATCAATTCACGTATATACTTAAACATCAGCATTCATTCATTTTATTCAGTTAGTGCATTTTGGTGCTGCTGGGGTCACCACTCTCCTCCATCTCACAATTGTGCTTCATGGTGACATTCAAGGCAGAATATTGCAATGGCTTTCCAGTTCCTTTTGTACTAGGGATATATAGCCTACATTTTCCCTCATTTTAGAGGTGGATTTGTTTTTGAAGTTACCTTCTTCTAGTCTTTGCTTAAAGAGGCAGGACCTACAAGGCAGCAGGTGGTTTGAATTCAGAGTATCCTTCTCCTAGGCTGGTTGCCACCCAAGGCTTTAGGACCCAGTCTGTTCTGCTATTTTATCCACAGTTGGGGGGAAGAAATGACTTCATACCATTCCCAAGAGTATTAGCAGGAAAATGAATGTAATGAACTCAACTGCAATTTGAACTCAGATCTCTGATTCCCCAATCCAAACTGCTAATTCTTACTCTGTCAAGCCTCCAATTTGCATAGAAAGACCATTTTTTTCCATTTCGAACCTCCCCCAGCTGCTTAGTACTATTATTCTTCTGTTGGGAATAAAGACACAGCTTCAAAATTCTTGGTGTTGCTGTAGCTTACGAAGTAAATAGATTTTTATGGGGTATAGTTATCAGGTGCTTAGTGCTATAATTCTTGTTTTCCTTCTCTTAGACTGTCGATGGTATATGGAGGCTGTTCGCTGCCCAGATTGCATGCACACTTCTCAGCAGTACCAACAAGATCCAAAGGAATAGAGAGCATTACATTTTAGGCAGGCTTGGCTGCAGGAATTGCCGGAAAGTTGTTAGTGTTGACAGCCAACCGCTTTCTAGGGTTCCACTCCGGGTTTTCTCTCCGGATTTACTTCTATAACCTTTTACTTGTTTGGATATGACCTCAAGGCAGCAGAGGTTTGAAATTAGAGTTTTCCTTCCCTTAGATGGACTGCCTTCCTGGGCTGTCGAGCCCCATCTAACCGAAACCCTTAATATACAAAACCTTATTGTACACAAAACAATGTAAATAAATTGCACTGTTGAATATTAAATCAATTGTTCAAAATTTATTTTCTTTTATAAAATAGTTATTTTAAAATATTCTTGAAAAAGGTATTGTTTATTCTTGTCTAGAAAAGCGTATTTTTATTCTTGTCTAGAGAAGGGTATTTTTTTATACTTGTCTAGAAAAGGGTATTTTATATTCCTGTCTAGAAAAAGGTATTTTTTCTTGTCTAGAGAGGTCATTTTTTATTCTTGTTTAGAAAAGAGTATTTTTTTTTATTCCTCTCTAGAAAAAGGCATTTTTCTTATCTAGAGAAGGTCATTTTTTATTTTTGTTTAGAAAAGGGTATTTTTTTTATTCCTGTCTAGAAAAAGGGATTTTTTATTCTTGTCTATAAAAGGATATTTTTTATTCTTGTCCGGAAAAATGGATTTTTCTATTCTAGCTGAAAAAAAAGGAATTTAAAAATTTCGTCCAGAAAAGGTATTTTTTATTGTTGCTCAGAAATAAGTATTTGGCTTCTTCTTGCCCAGGAAAGGGTATTTTTATTCATTCTTTCCCCTAAAAAGGAATATTTTATTCTTGTCTAAAAAGACGATATTTTATTCTTGTCTCATAATGGATTTTTTTTATTTTTTCATAGAAAAAGGGATTTTTTTTTATTTTTCCCGCCAAAAGGAATCTTTTATTTTTACCTAGAAAAGATTATATTTTATTAATTCCGAGAAATAGGGATTTTTTGACACTCCCGCCACCACCAAAGTATATTTATTCTTGCCAAGAAAAAGTCTATTTTGTTTTTGTTTTTTATTCTCGTCCAGTAACAGGTTTTTTTTTATTCTAATGCATTATTCAAACGACTTGCACTGGTTCACGTTTAATCTTTCCACAGGTTCACATGTTGCTGTTTGTGTTGCTTCTTCCTCCAAACATCCATCTTTTTCATTAGTTCTCAGTTCTTTCATAAAATTCTTTCTCCTTGAGCTGCAAATCTCTTTTTTAAGTCCACAATTTCCAACACATGCATGATTGCACTAAACTTCGGTGAAGCATTATCAAGCTTCTGATATATTTTTCCAATATTAAACAGGGAAAAAATAATTTGTATGCTCATTTTTCTAATATTCAGCAATACAGGATCACCCAGCTCGACCCGTAAAAAAAACAATTGTCATCATTTTGTAGTCTAATAACGCAGCCAATTCCCGTCCTGGGTAAGACGATAAACTACATCCAGCAGCAAAACCTCTGATAAACTGCATCCGGGTCCTGAGTAAGACGATAAACTATATCCAGTAGCAAGGCCGATTTTAAGGAGCGTGGAACCACTTCTTAATTGCTGGTATTCGCAGGTCCACTCTAACCCGTAGTGGTAGCATCTGTCAAGGTCACAGCTATGGGCAAATAGTTACCCACCTCCGAAAGGGGTCAAAACACTATCAAAGTATAAAATTAGGCTTTAATACGAACCATATATTTTTGAAAAAAATATTACCGTCAATAAAAATTTTTGTCAGCATCAAATAACAATAAATGAATATTCAAACTAACCTATCCTAAAAATCTTGTCGGCATTAAATAACCCATTGAGGTTGATAAGCCGGAAAACAAAAGTAACCAAACCGAACTGATTTTTTTTATTAGGCAGTAAATTATGTCACTTATCATCCTCCATAATTTACCTAAACTTTTCAGTTAGCCTAATGAATATTCATACTAACCTATCCTAAAAATCTTGTCGGCATTAAATAACCCATTGAGCCGGAAAATTAAACAAACCCAAAACCAATCGTAGCCAATTCTCGCTCAAATGGTCTCAAATTTTAACAAAGTGTCTAAAAACTAACTAACTTGACTGTGCGGACTTATCTTAATTAGAATCTACCAAACAACAGATGGACTGTGTGTGCCGGTGATAATGGCAATGCCCACCATGTGTGCCGGTGATAATGGCAATGCCCACCGTGTGTGCCGGTGATAATTTCTATGGGGCTATCTGAATGAACAGGTCAATATCTCCATCTTCCTATAAGCCTAGAGAAACTTAAGCAGAGAATCGCTGAAGCACTGGAAAATGTTACCCAAGACATGCTACAGCGTGTTTAGCAGGAGCTGGACTATCGACTTGACGTGTGTCGTGTCGCAGGTGGTGTGCATATTAAACATTTGTGAAGGCTTTGTTAAATCGGTTATAAAATCTACATTCCCTTGAATATCTTGTTCGAATTTTGATAAATAAATCATTTTAGGATGCGTCTTCCTTGCCGCAGCGTCTTGTTAACCGGCAAATACGGAAATTTGTGCTCGGTTAATTAAATTCTGTGTAAGTGCTATTTTGTAGTAATTAGGACACTCACTTTTATAGTCATTGTTATTATTATTATTATTATTATTATTATTATTATTATTTTTCTTGTATTTCCAAGAGTATAAACCTTCCCGGAGCCGAGCCACAAGCTTAAAATGCTCTGTTTACTAGCAGCGGCGGATGCCTTTCTGCTCTTGACTAGGTATGCCATTGCCATACAAACAAAATCGGACGAATTGTAAACAATACGTGGCGTCAGCATGTGAGGGATGCATGGTAAATGTGTTGCTGTATGAAAATGAATTTTTTTTCTTAGAAATTTCTTTCCAATATTAGGGTGCGTCTTCCATGACGCTACATCTTGTAAGCCGGGAAATACGGTAAATAAGTTTATTGCGAGAGATAAAAAAAGAAACTGGAATTACGAAAAGAGATGTAGAATCCAATGAAAGCGAGTAAAATGATGAAAGATATTTCAACAGAATGTCAGAAAAAAAAATCAAGTCAATATTTTGGAAGGCAAATAACCACATAATCCGCAAACTAACCTAGATACAAACCTTGGTTTTAAAAAAAAGTTTTAGTTAAAAGAGTCACTGCTGGATACTCACAACCTTCGTGTAGTCTGATTCCTGTGTACTAGTGTTAATTAGTAAGGGAAGAAAGTATTCATTACAAGTCTTTGCAGCCTGGCTAAGTACACAGAAGCAAAAATGGAATTATCTGAAAGTAGAGATTAGCAATGTGTAACAGTATCATAGGATGTACTTCCCGATGTACAGTCATTGTGCGTGAACCTGAAGTATTGAGGAATAACACGAGGAAACACACGTTTTATATTTAACGAAACAAGATGAGGAATTTATTTACAAATTTACACATTTGAAGTTATTTCGGGAAAAGGAATCAAATATTTAAAGTTCGTAGTTTCGATGAATTGTCAAGAAGAGAAAATGTTCATATTAAGTCATTGGACACAAAGTAATATTCCAAAATGTTTAAAACAAATTGAGAGAGTTTGTTTTTCGCATAAAAGTTATACGGTTGTATTCAACATGAATGAAAAGATATATTTTAAGATACTTAGCTTTGGAGTTGAATAGTGTTCTTTGAAATTTGCCCTGCTTTCATTAGATGTTGCTAATGTACCGGCGTGTAATTGGACACCGGCGTTATTTTTCTCTCTGTCTGTCTGTCTGTCTGTCTCTCTCGCTCTCTCTCACCCTCCCTCTCTGCCTTGATTCAACTTTCTCTGCCTATTTATATCAAAAAGCGATTTCACATCGGCTCGTTACTTTTTTCCTCAGTTTGTAAGCCGCTCGCTTTTCCATTGGTCAAAATAAATTTTCACATAGGCTCATTAAACTTTGCTTGGTCTTTTCTTTACCCCGGAGCCAATCCCTTTTTCTATTGGTCAAAATAACTTTTCTCATAGGCTCATTAAACTTTGCTTGGTCTTTTCTTTACTCCGGAGCCAATCCCTTTTTCTATTGGTCAAAATAACTTTTCTCATAGGCTCGCGAATTTGAAAACTGGAGAAAAGAGAGTTATTTTTATTTCGTATTCACCACAAACCCTCTAGCGTAGTAATACTCGGGGACACTTCACTTTGAGTAAGGGGGAGAGTTACAATACACCGGCTGTACATGAATGTAAATAAATGCACTATAACTAAGCATTGCTTTACCACTTATTAATCCCTAACTACAACAGCCTAACTGTAGACAAGTTGTAGCTAATATTGCACAGAGTAAACTTGTTGGGAATACCTAACCCCAAAGAGTCACTCTTATTTATTGCTTATATTTTGTGTTGAAATATCCTTGTTAAATGCTTTATGCTAATAAGATACTATACTTTAGTTTTTAGCGATATCAATTGAACTTTCGAATTCTCTCCTGATTTTGGAAGACAGTTGTTCGCAAACTTTTTTCTCTTGGCCGCATTTTCCGAATTAAAATTTTATCGCTCCTCACCAAATTTTATGTGACAAAAAGTATATTTAAAAAAAAAAAAAAAAAAAAAGAGAGGGTTTTAAAGGGAGATAACCGCAAATTCCAAGCCAGGACATTATCATTGATAATTCTCTCTTCCAATTTGCTAAGCTTAGTTACTATATTTTTAATACTTGATATAATAGAAAAGTATCATAATGATAAAATCGGTTTAGTTTATATATATTTAGAATGTTTCTACATTCCATTGGCTTGGGTTGTTTGTTTTTTTATGCTTCATACTTTTAATATTTCAGACCAGTGGTTCAAAAACTATTTTTGAAAATTTGCTCGCGCCTCACCAAAGGGAAGTCCCGGTGAAAAGTCGCAAGCAGTACTACGGCAAAGAAGATCCAGACACTGGGTTAAAGGGAGATAACCACGGATTCGAAGTCAGAACATTATCATTGATAACTCTCTCCTTCAATTTGCTGACCCTGGTTACTATATTCTTAATACTTGATATAATAAAAAATATCACAATGAAAAAAATCGGTCACTAATTATTTATGAGTATTTATACTAAGACTCATGCATGCAATTACAAGGAATCCATGATAATATTTTGAATTTTGAAATCATATTTTTGGCATATGAATTTTTTTTAAAGCTGTTTCTAAATCTTTGTCTTTCAATCCTTCCGCCTCACCTGCTATCCTCTTCCGCCTCACCTGCTATCATCTTCCGCCGCGACTATGAGGTACGCTGTATCGTTTGAGAACCACTGTAAACAAATTGCTACTTTCTTTACTCATTTTGAACCTCCGTCTGTTATGTTCAACCTTCGACTCTCTTTGTCATATTTCTTCTTTCCTTCCTTTTTATCTTCTTATTTCTTTTGGGCTTTCAATAAACATGCAAATACTAGTTAGTATATTTTTAATACTTGATATAATGCAAAAATATCACAATGATAAAATCCGTTTATTTTATATATATATATATATATATATATATATATATATATATATATATATATATACATACATACATATATATAGCATGTTTCTACATTCCATTGGCTTGAGTTGTTTGTTTTTTATGCTTCATGCTGAAAATTTGCTCGCGCCTCACCAAAGAGAAGTCCCTCTGAAAAGGCGCAAGCAGTCCTACGGCAAAGAAGGTTCAGAGAGTGGGTTAATAAACGTGAATACGAAGTCAGAACATTATCATTGATAACTCTCTCCTCCAATTTGCTGACTCTAGTTACTATATTCTTAATACTTGATATAATGCATGAATATCACAATGATAAAATCGGTCAGTAATTATTTTAACTATTTGTACTGGGACTCATGCATGCAATTACAAGGAGTCCATAATAATATTTTTTAAATTTTGAAATCATATTTACTTTTGGCATATGAATTTTTGGAAACTGTTTCTAAATCTTTGGCTTTCAATCATTTCGCCTCATATGCTATCCTCATCTGCCTCACCTGCTATCCTCATCCGTTGCACCTATGAGGACCGCCGCACCGTTTTGGAACTACTGTTGCAAGCATTTGCGAATAACAACTGCAGGTTTGAATGTTGTGACATCACAAAAGTAATTAAATTTTATTGGTGCTAGAAAACTTCAAAAAAGAGTTTGTGAACATTATCTGCCAATATAGCCGCTACGTGACATGAATCCACTTTTTTTTGTTCCAAGCGTAGTAGCGACGACACTGCACACTTCGCTTCCGGTGAGACTTCTTAGTCTCCGGAAAACCAACTAATTAATT